GCCAGTCCGCCCCATATCCGGACTTCGCCCGAAGGCGGAGAAGTTCAGCTCTGCATATCAGCCAGCGACAAAACTGCCACCCAAGCCAGCAACTCCGGGTTTCGTACAGAATAAACTCTCTTCCGAGTGGCTTCCACTTTTACGCCCTTCCTATTGTGTAACTCATTGGGGAGTCAAACAGGACGTAATCGGACGGTGACACCACACAGCAGTCACTGGCACAGCAAGTATAGCCTATGGCTCTTTCCACATTGGAGCTGTCCCACGACTTTTCTGTATAAGAGTATCGGCAGCTATTAACAGGCATGAAAGGCTACTTTATCTATTTATTGACAGTGCCTGCCTTTCCTATAAATAATTGTTCTTGAGAAGAAGAAGAAGACTACATCGCTGGGACAATACGTTTATTCGCCTGACGTTCCGACATCCGTCGCGGATTCATCACCAGAGACATAAGTAGGAGACAGTAGCTACTGCTACTGTCTCCTAATCATTGTTCTTGTTGATTGCGTTAGGGTCAAAAACCAGTCAAAAATCCGAACGAAAATTCATACAAATTTAAAGCGACATGTAAACTCACCAAGTCAAGAAAGCATTGAGCAGCATTAGTTGGATTCATTGCGCACATCTGCAGTTGGGCTCGCAAGCTGAAAGGGCAGAGCAAAAAGATGAATCCTGTCACCCTCTTCTTTAGTGCATAAACACGAAACAGGTGCTCGGAAAATGACACCTTAACTCAGGTGGATTTCACTCACACCTTTGATTGCAAGGAAATTTACCAAGCACATAAAGAAATCCCAGACTTTAAACGCAAAATAGAAACTAAAGAGTAAAATACTGAAACACTAATTATAAATTTTATATATATATGTGCATATTAAGTTGAACGGACAACGAAAGGGTAGACCGAAATAACAATTTCTGACTTATTAGTTGTCATCAACCAGTTATACCAAATACCAGGTGTGGATTACCCGAAATTTGAACCTGTTTTCCTAGGTCATTAAGTGCAATAGTCTACCATTGAGTTGTAGGCCCGTTGTGTTCGCCGATTGCGACCGGGAATATGATTAACGATGGGACGGTTACTACGCTGGTTAAGGATAATGCTCGTCCCGTTGTGCCTTGGAGCTCAAGCTAGGGCCCTAGCAGGCAGTCGCTAAGTGACTTGTACCATATGATGGCGAGTATATATACAGGATGTCAAAAATGTAAAAATATTTACAATTATCTTTTTTATTGTTTTTTCACTGCATGTTCTCGCATTATGCAAAGTTGCCATTGGAAAAGTTATATCCCAAGGTTAGTCCATGCTCTTAATGACGACGATCTAGACCGAAAGTACAGTATCGTGAGTGGTAGTTGGAACAGTGTCTGGATCAAAATGGACATCAGTTTGAGAATATGCACAGAAAAAACAATAAAACGATAATTGTACATCTTTTTACATTTTTGAAACAATTAACTTATAATAGACACCAAGTTTACAGTTAATTAAAATGTGTATACATTTTTTTGGGACACTATGCATATGTATAAAAAATATAGTTAATTCCTCTATACGTGAAATTCAAAGGGTACTGAAAGGAATCATATACGAGTAGCCGACCGTCATATAAATTTCTTGGGCACACAGCTTATATTACCTAAGGAGAGGGTTGGCTGCCTCGATAGAATTGGTCTTGTCTCCAGTGATGCTGCCGTTTATTGTGGTAAAAATGAAAAGTATTCTCCAGCCAACCAAAAAATCATTTGCTTTGCATAAGTAAATAGTTAAAAGCTAAAGTAAGTGAGGTTTTAAGGATTCGGCTTCCAGAGGAAGTATCCTTTTCTATATATATATTGCAATCTGGTATATCAATTGTATGAGTGGACATGAAAATATAAAAGGGTACTTAGGTCGCACAATTGTTGGCCGTGGCTATGAAGAATCAGAAACATGGAAAACTAGAAGAACTGGGAACAGTTTAGGTTGGAAAGATATCAAAGCAAACCTAATTAAACCCGCGGGATTTATATTTTCCACGGTCAACCCCAAAAGTTATCCATATTCTTCAGACAAGTTGACTCTTTGTGCCTGCAAAGGGAAAACTCAATATTGTTCGCCCCCGATTTCTGCACCAAAACATCGCTTTTAAGATTGCGTCTTTGAGGTACGCACACAGGCTACTTTCGCAGACTGCCACGCGAACGCCAGCAACTGAAACAGCCAGACACCCAAATTCCTGCAGGTAAACTAAAATATATGTGGGGTGTCAACTGCTGTTTACATTTTGTCTTGCCGGTTGTTCGGCTTTTTTGCAGTGGCCTAATTAATTGCTTGGAATTTTATTTTATTTGTTTTTTTGCGCGAAAATCTGGAATTTCGGATAGTAGATGGCAGGAAAACATAGGCCCATGTTCCTCGAGGTATCATTAACGGTAGATTCCCTGAATGACACGCGACAGAAAAAGACATTATAGTATGAAGCAGTATATGGGGAATTGTCTACAATACAATACAGTTGACTTATTTTATAGTTTTTAAGGCACCTAAGAGCTAAACGAATTCATTTCGCCAAGCATTTTCCCTTAACTAGCTTAAGCGCTTGTGACAGCTTTGGTAAGGAGGATAGCCGATGAAACAGAAAATGAGGTGAAAGCAAAATTATGCTAAAGTCAGACTATTCAGATGCCATGTCCCGACGGTTCTTGCCAGGGCGACGACTTAGCCCGCAAATAACGGAGCACAAACGGGCAGTGCGGAAAGGTGACCCACAGTCCCAGATCGCTACCCCACACTCTGGAAGAAGGCCACGAATTCGATTTCTCGAACACACGGATAATAACACGAGCCAGTAATAAGACGGGACGCGAAATGCTGGAGGCCTGGGTGTCAGATCCTAAC